ATGATGATGATGATGATGATGATGATGATGATGATGATAGCAACGACGATGATGATGACGATGACGATGATGAAACTCTTCATTCAGTATGATGATACTGAGATAATACAAAGCGAAGACAACCACCAAAATAAAATGACATTAGATATATATATATATATATCCATAGTGCTCTGTGTCGTGTGGCGAGGGAATCCAGGAGCGTTCTGTCCAGTGCCAGTCGTTCAACAGCGAGCCCTGTGACCCGGCCCTCAAGCCCAAAGCTCAACAGAAGTGTCGGAGCTCGTGTGAGCGGAATGTCAACTCTTCCTTCGCAAGTAAGTTTTATCAATGAGCTGGTTTTACTTCGTTCGTAAGTAAGTTTTATCAATGTGCTGGTTTTACTTCGTTCGCAAATACGTTTTATGAATGGGATAACTTTACTTCGTTCGCCAGTAAGTTTTATCAGTGGGATAACTTTACTTCGTTCGCCAGTAAGTTTTGTCAATGGGATTAATTTACTTCGTTTGCCAGTAGTTTTATGAATGGGCTGGATTTTCCTCTTTCGCCTGTAAGTTCTATCAATGGGATGACTTAACTTCCTCCACAAGTAAGTTTCATCAATGGACTGGATTTTCCTCGTTCGCCAGTAAGTTTTATCATTGAGCTGGTTATACTTCGTTTGCTAGTAAATTGTATCAATGAGCTGGTTTTACTTCCTCCTCCAGTAAGTTGTTTTAGTAGAGGTTTTACGGCGCTCACAACTGCATAAGATCACAAGAACACCAATTTTTTTTTAATGGGATGAATTTACTTCCTCCGCCCGTAAGTTTTATCAATGAGCTGGTTTTACTTCGTTCGTCAGTAAGTTTTATCAATGGGATTACTTTACTTTCTCCGCCAGTAAGTTTTATCAATGGACTGGATTTTCCTCATTCGCCAGTAGGTTTTATCAATGGGATGACACACTTCCTCCTCCTGTAAGTTTTATTAGTGAGCTGGTTTTACTTCGTTCGCCAGTAAATTTTATCAATGAACTGGTTTTACTTCGTTCGCCAGTAAGTTTTATCAATGGGATTACTTTACTTCGTTCGCCAGTAAGTTTTATCAACGGGGTTACTTTACTTCCTCCGCAAGTAAGTTTCATCAATAGACTGGATTTTCCTCGTTCGCCAGTGTGTTTAATTCAATGGGCTGGCTTTACCTCGTAACCGGTTCTGCTCTCCCCCATCTTCAAAAACAATTGAGAACAAATAAATAGATAAATAGATAAACGAACAAATGAACGGAAATTTTTAATCAAACGCTTCTTAACCTAAGTTCGGGAACTGCCACCTTTCCGCAGATCTGCTCGGCGTACGGTTGTATTTACGTTTTTCTCTTTGTCGGCTTCATCTTAACACTAATACATTACAAGTTTTGGGTTTTGGCTTGAAAAATTAATTTCCAGATTTTGAGCTAGAAATAATGTTAGACCATTATACTACACGTTCCAGATGTTTCCAAAACTAAGAAAACACCTTAAATATACAAATTTGATGTTTTTGTAAATAGGGGTGATCTTTTAGCATCACAAAAACGGCTGAAGTTGTTAGTTTTGGGTTATAAAACACCGTAGCAACCATAATATGTTACTTTGAATAGAAGGTTGGCATGCTGTATATCACTGAAAACGGCACTTAATGCTCAGTCTGGTAAACTTAACTCCCAGCACCGTTCGCATTCATTCAAAAACAATGTAAACTGTTGAAATAGGTCACCAGATCATGCCGAATAGATTCGAGAGTTTCCGTAAGAGCGGATGACGCAGTCGTTTCAATGCGCGCCTCCCTTTGGCATTTTCAGTACGGGTCACTGAAGATTTTCTTAAATTGCCATGTTGTTTTCCAAGATATATATATGATATTTTGCAAGGGAGTATAGAAATGGTGTCTAGATGCCATTATAAAGAGATTTGGGGCATATTGCCTTCGATTTTGAAAAAGCTTTTTTGGCTGTGTTAGTAGGGTGCGCTGGCGGTGGGTTTTTTTATTTTTTATTATCAATGTAGATCTATATGGGTTGGGTTTTTTTTTCAAAATAGACATAAAATAGTCTCAAATATCATGTTT